ATTCCAAAAACGTCGACTGCTGACATTTTCCTTTTGACCAGTGTCTCTTGAGTTTAGTTGAGCTGTCTCCAAGGGAAGGTGATGTGTCCTGTAGAACTGAGTGGATATGTTTCCCGCCGGAAATCCTGGGTACCTCTCTGGAAAACGCCTCTTCGTCTCTTATGTGGGCTGGCTTCCCTTGTGCCCGCTCTCAAGCCGCCCTTCCGCCCAGGAGCACGCCGGAAATCCTGGGTACCTCTCTCTCTCTCTGGAAAATGCCTCTTCGTCTATTATGTGGGCTGGCTTCCCTTGTGCCCGCTCTCAAGCCGCCCTTCCACCCAGGAGCACGCCGGAAATCCTGGGTACCTCTCTCTCTCTCTCTGGAAAACGCCTCTTCGTCTCTTATGTGGGCTGGCTTCCCGTGTTAGCACTGGAAAAAGAACAGGGCTCAGATCTGCTGTTCATAGGGTCCTATGAGTCATACTCACCTCAAAAGCACCTAACAACAACAAAAGCTTTGTTACCAAGAAATTGATTAATTGGCTCAAGGACAGTGGGCTTGGGGTTTGGGTTTAGGCAAGGACTTGTGTGTTGACCTGGACTTGGTCTTCCGCTGCCATTTCCCCCTCTCTGACCCACAATGCTGAACTGTTGTTGGGCTTCTCTCTCGAACCTCTCTCTGATAAAGAAGTGGGAAACCCAGTCTCTCCTTCCTGCTCAGTCTCTCTACACTCCAGACTCCTTTATCTAGCTGCACGCTAAACCTCTCACTTGACTGTTCACCAGACATTTCAGCATTTTAATGGTCACATACTTACAGCATGTTGCCCCGAGAGACCAATCCTTGGAGAAAGACATCATGCTTGAAAGGTTAGAGAGGAAAACCTTGGATAAGATGGATTGACAAGTGAATGTGGCAGTAAGGGCAACTGTGTCAGAGATAGTGAGTTGCTCAGGATAGGGCAGGATTCAGAGGCGTTGTTCATAGGATCACTATGAGTCGTGGTCAATTTGACAGCACATAGCAACATTAACCATGGTCAAAACCGAAGTCTTGATTGTTTTTCCAGGGGCCCCATCTCTTCATAGAACCATCTCCGACCCTGCTGGTTAGCCGAGGATATTCACTCTCGATTACTTTTCTCACCTTGACCATCATACTCTGATCAGCAACTTGTAGACCCCATCGACAACGGCCCATTTGGGACATATTTCAAAACTTCCATCCTCTGGTCCAGGCCACCATCCTTCTTCCTTTGGATAAGCCTCCAGAGGCCAGTTACATCCTTGCTCATCCTCTCATCCATTCTTTTACAACAGAGACAAATAGTCTTTCTGAACCAAACTGTTATCACTCTCTGCTTTGGTCTTGTCTCTGCTTTCCAACAGTCCTTAGGGAAAACCCTTTTTACTTGAGCTCAAATCCGTACCTCCTGTGTCCCTTGCTTCATTTCCCAATCCTGGCTTTCTCTTGAACTCTGGCTTCAGGCTTACCGGGCAGAGGCTTTCAGGCTCAGCTGCAAGCCCACACTCTTTCTCTCTGTAGTACAGTTACCTTTGCCCCTTTATTCTCCCTCCTTCCCTGTCTAGTTAAAAAACACTTCATCACTGCAAAAGGAAACCCCAGATCCAGTAAACTGGATCACACCCACACCCACCCTGGCAAAACCCTGTTTTGATATAGCCCATGAGCTAAGAATAGTTTTTACATTTTTTAATGGTTGTAAAAAATCAAAATAAGACCAATGCTTTGTGATGTATGCAAATTATATAAACTTATATTGGTAAATAAAATTTTATTGGAACAACCACAAAAAATTGTTCAAGATGATCAAAATGCTTTTAAAATCCTATGGTAAGTATTTGACAGCAGCTAGAATCCTCCAGTCTGTTTCTAAGTGAATCTAGAAAGTAAAAAGAATCTTACAAATTAGAGTTCTATCCAGTGCCCTTTGGAATTTAATATTATGCTAACAGAATATTTGTTTCTGAGTGTTTGCTTAGAGCTAGTGCTCCACTGGCAGTGAAGTGTCATTATTTGACAAAGTGAGCCTGTGTCTTTTGATTAAAAATTAATAGGAAAGTTGGATTTCCCATTTTCTGTACAAGTCTTAGAGTGGAGCTTTTAAAAAAAAAATCATCATCGTAAAAAAGACTTAATGTGTGGCCTTAGTCCAATGGAGCAAGGGAACACTGAATGGTTTAAAACCAGCAAAAGTGTTCATCAGGGCTGTATCTTCTCTCTGTACCTACTCAGCAAATCATTAGGGAAGCTAGACTCTATGAAGAATGTGGCATCAAGATCAGAGATTGTGCAGATGGCACAGTTTTGCTAACTGAAAGTAAGGAGGACATAAAGCACTTGTGCAGAAGATCCAAGGGACTACAGCCTTCAATATGGATTACTTCTTAACATCAAGAAGGGAAAAAAATCCTCACCACTGAACCAATAAGCAACATCATGATAGAAAATTTGAAGTTGTCAACAATTTCCTCTTTCTTTTTTTTTTTTATTATTTGTGTGTGTACCGTCAAATCAGATCTGACTGGTACAGGAGGAGATTGTTCCTCCTTCTCCAGCAAAGCATCTGGTGGAAATTTCCTCTTTCTTGGAATCCACAATCACCACCCTTAGTACTTGCAGTCAAAAGATGAGTCACATTGAGAAAATCTGTCAGGGACCTCTCCAGAGTACTAAAGAGCAATGGCATCAGTTTAAAGATTAAGGTGCACCTGATCAAAGCCATGGCCTTCTCAGTTACATCCCTAAGGATGACAGAAGAATAATCAACCCCTCTGAATTGTGTTGGAGAAGAATACTGAATATCCCATGGACTGCCAAGAGAATAGTTGTCCTAGAGAAAGTGAAACCAGGGTACTCCTTGGAGGTAAGGAGGGTGAAACCATCTCACATACTTTGGGTGTATAAGGACAGGCTAGTCCTTGAAAAGATAGGGGGTCAGCGTAAGAGAGGACTACCGTCAACAAAGTGTACTGACACAGTGACTGTAACAGTGAATTCAAGTGTGTCAGAGGCAGTGAGGACAGAAAGGGGTTCGACTCTCTTGTTCATAGGGTCAGTGGGAGTCACAGTTGACTTGATGGCACATAACCACTACCAATGCATTTGGAAGTAAGGGCAAGTGTTTAGAAGAGTGATATGTGACTCAAAGACTTGCTGTAGGCCAAATTAAGTGGAAAGCCCTGTGCTTTGGTCTCTTAAAAAAAGAGCCCCAAATGCACGGCCCCAAAGCCTCCCACTCCTTCCTCTACCTGTAGTCATGGCAGAGTGATTCTGCATCTGTTTACTTGACAATTGTAGGGGTGAGTTTCAAGCTAGAATTGAGACCACTAACTCAAGCTTCGCCATAGCCTAACTGTTCGTGGTTTGTGGAAGACCTTGTTCTTCCATAAATGTCCTGAAAGAAAAAAGATTTGGCATTAGGGATGTTAAGAACTATGGATTTGACGAGCTCTGGTGACCTAGGGCAAGAAGCTGCACTGCAGTCTCAGAAGTGTGCGCTTCGAATCCACCAGAATTCTCTGCTGGAGAAGGAGGGACAATTTCCTCCTGATATGATTTGACGGTACACACAAAAATAACAGTAATTTTAAAAAAAAAAAAGAACTGGATTTCTGGTTGGTGCAAACAATTAACAACCTATAAGGCCAGCAGTTTCTACCCAGCCAGAGGTATCTCACAATGGCCTAGTGATCTATTTCCAAAAAATTCAGCCATTGAAAATTCTGTGGAGCACAGTTGTGTGGTTTTTGTGTTTTTTTTAATTTTTATTTTATTATTTTTGTCTGTGTGTACCGT